AAAAAAAAACAATCAACTAAAATCAACAGGTTCTCCCATAGCTTGTAATTTTCTCGCTGCATTCACATCATTTTTCAATTCTTCATAATCTCGTTTAAGTTTAGCACGTCTATTTTGAAACCACTAAAACAAACAAAAAATCAGAAGAAAAAATAATAATATAATAAAATCTAATAAAATAAAACATACCGTAATAACTTGAGCAGGTGAAAGTTGTAATTCATTAGCAATTTGATCACGATCATTTGGTGTTAAATATCGTTGATGTGTAAAACGTTTTTCTAATGCATAAATTTGTTGAGCAGTAAATGCTGTACGATTTTTACGTCGTTTTCTTTTATGTAATTCATGTGTTAATTTTAATGAAGTATCCGAATCAAATGAATCTAATCAAAAACAATGTTTAAACATATGTTGTATGTATAATGACAAATGAGCTAAACTATTGATGACGCACAACGAATAGAAAGAGAAAGTCTATCAGCAGAAGCTAATCATATTTGTTGATAGAAAAAATATTCTTCAATGATCTATGTTCTAAACAGTGGTGATAATCATATATCAAATTGATCGATATCAATTCAACATACAAGAAGAAAGATGAACAAACTGTGATATCCAATTATGAGTACAAATATATATATATATATATATATACACTCTAAGATATGCCGAAAGAAACAATTAATTTGTGCCATGTAGATCGATTAATGATGAGACTTTTTCTTTTCTTTTTTTTTTCTATGAAAATAGACTACTCGTTTGTCATCATCATTCGTCCAATGTACGTCTGTTGTTCTAGTCCAAACAGTTATAATTGTTATATACATATTTAAAGTAACTGTTCTCATTCTCTAAATAAGATTGAATATAAGAAAGAAAAGAAAAAGCACACCAAATGCTTCATTTCAAACTCAATTCATTCGTTTCGCCGTATTACCAAAGATAAAACGAATAGACAAGGCTCACGTGTATAGATTGAAAAAGGGGAAAAAAAAAGAGATGAACTTCTATTGATTATCGGGAGTACATGTCAGACACTTGACCTTTAAAAAGAATTCGATAATCAATTGGACACAAATTGAAAAATATTAAACGAACCGTAAACAAAATGAATTAGATAACAGAAAGGATTTGATAGTAGATGAATAATCAAATATGATAAAAAATCAATTCGATTAAATCTGTGTTTTTTTCTTTTTACTCTTCGATATATATTGATTTTATTTTAATTAATGACATCAACTTGTAGATAAAGAAATATATAAGAGAAGGAATGATACACTCTTAAAACAAAGACTTCTGATAAGTTCATTGATTGTTCATATAATTTTTTCTGAGGAAGAAATATGTTCAAATCATCTCTCGACATATTCATTTATTTTCTGACAATGTTAGAAAAATAAAATGAATAATAACCAATGAAAAAACAAAGAACTCATTCAACAAATCAAAACATTCGAATAGGATTGTTTTGTATTATGATTCTCAATGATGATTGATAAATCTATTTTTAATTTTAGTTATTCTGAAACAATCATTCTATGATTTGCAATCTCAATATTGTAGTATCGTATTGATAACAAGACTATCTTAGAGTATATATTTTTCAAGGTTCGACTTATTTCTCATTATTGATTTAAAGCAGAATAATACTTAAAACATTGATTATTAGCTAAATTTCAATAAGATAATAAACTTACTCATAGCTGATTTGTCGAATGTTTTCTTCGTCATTTCAAAAAGAGCATCCAGTGGTGAATTGTGTAAATCCTTATCCATACGATATGCATTGCGTAGTGTTGTTCCTGTTGTTGTTGCCGTTGATTTTGTTAGTAATAAAGAACTTGGACGTAAAGGTACTGGACATAATGGATGTTTAAAATACTGTCGAAGATCAATTGGTTTTGTTACAAATATTTCTTTATTATCATTACTTTCATCAGATGATGTTGATTCACAATTTTCCGAAAGAATATCTTTGATTAAAAATGATTTTGTTGTCGATGACATTGGTAATAGTTGTTAAACTAAAGACGATAACATTCACCAACAAACTAATGATCATTTGAGAGGAAGCCAATCAACGTTAAATATCTTTTTTTCTCTTTACCGCTTCGTCTCATATAACATACCAAACTGATAAATGGAAATTTACACGAATAGGAAGAATAAGAACGGAAAGAATTGGGCCAAAAAGAAAATGGTAATTTGTTTTCTATGAAGCGAGAGAAAAAAAAACGAGTACATTTTCTTGCTCTTCGATACGTCTTATGTATTTAGCAGTATGTCCTATAGAATTTAGATAACTACACACGAACGCTAATTTTTTTATTATTATTCGACAATATAGACAAATCAATAGCAAATTAAAAATAAATAAATATGATAATCGAACCAATCAGATTGGAATAATCTATTAGGTTTATTTCTATTCGAAGTTCCGTTGTTGATTCTGACTGTACTAAATTAGTATCCTATATTTTGAATTGTAATTCGTCGGATCGTTGGCTATTGGATGTGAATCATTTGCATGATTTTAAACTGCACATTATACATTTTGTTGTCATTTAAAAATGTTTGATCCTCACGTTCTACATATAACTAGATTAGTCATAGGTTATATTTATTTTCGATCATTACATAGCTTACGATCCTGTTCATATTTGTATAATAATTGTCATTACCCATCAGTATTAAATACGAATAAATTAATATAATAGACATGAAAATAAAAAGAAGAATTACTAGTCCATACAGATATATCATTATTCAGACACATAAAGACATAAAACTGATGAATTAAAAAAAAATAATCGTTCATTTTTTTTTTTGTTACTTTTCTATAAATTTTTTCATGTATTGTATTAATCAAAATCGACATTCAAGACAGAAGATAGCAACATTGAATTAATGAATGAAGAAGTTTAAAAACTTACCTGATATCATGAGGAAACAATATGAAATAATTTTCAAGATTCGAATCGAAAAGAAATTAGTCTTACATATCTTCACTCAAATCTCAAATAAATCAGATATTTGGAAAACATACGTATAACAAAAGAAATGCATCTTCAATATTGGCTATTATTTACAACTGTTAAGAAGTATAAATTATCATCTTGTGAATATAGCCTTTTTGTGAAACTATTTAGACAAGAATGTTGTAATAATTTCGGTTCCATATCATTATATAAAATTCAAAGATGAGAATAAATGTTAAAACATATTCTAAAGAGAATTAAAAAAAACACTATGCTCAACAAAATGACTATATAAACAATCTTGAAATAAAGTCAATTTGTGTTAATTTTAAAGATTATATATTATAACGAAACGATGACAAGTTGCATATCTTGATGATTGATTAATAAAGATAACAGAAAATAATTATTGCATCTCTTTTGAATATTTACTACTAAAATAATCTTTTAATTTTCTCATTAGATTAATTATTTTATTATTTATTCTTGTATACTTTGTTATAATAAAACACTAAATATAGTATATAATAACTAATTATAATAGTGTATTGTTTAAAGTACGGTCCTTTTTTTTTTTGCACATCTGACAATCAAATAAAACAAATATGGTTCTTATCATTCTAAACATCATCAAATGGCGGTAGACCGAATTCAGTAGGATCAAATTTAAGAAGACTATCTAATGTCAATGTAGCTTGTTTGATAATTGCTGGATCATAGGCACTTATAGGTAAACTTGGTATAAATACAACTTTCATTTCAGCAGCAAGAGCAGCTTGAATACCAGCTTCAGCATCTTCAAATACTAAACATTGACTCACTGAAAGAGGTGGTTTAGAAAATTTTGCTGCACACGCAAGAAATATATCTGGTGCTGGTTTACATAAACGTAATTCCATTGGTTCTGTACAAATAATTGGATTGAATAATTCAAATAATTCACGATAATTATTAGTTTTGACCGTATATAATTCACGTCTAGAACCTGTAGCAATTCCTAAAATGATTGCAATAGTATTCAGTTAGATTATGCTGAATTTACCTATTGGAATATTGTGAGCTGCTAAATGTCGAATAAGTCGTTCAACACCTGGTAACAATTGAGACGATGGAAATGCTTCCATATAAAGTGCCGTTGATTTTATTAAATATTCTTCCTCAGTCATGGGTAAATCCAATTCACCTGTAAAAATTTTAAAGAAAATTTATTTTATTTAATACAATGAATAAGTTACGAATTAATATTTGTCCTGCTTGTAAGGATGATCTTCCCATCATTTTAAGTTTTATTTCTGTTGTAAAATTTTTTTTATATTGTGCACATAATTTCTGTATACATTCAGTATAGATTGATTCAGTATCTAATAATAAGCCATCTAAATCGAATATACAATGAGTAATGCTCATCGTTCTTAGATAGATATGAATAAAATATAATCTAAAATTTAGATTCTATCGAATGTTTTTTTTTGAATAAGTGGAAAAAAAAGTTAGTACCATAAACCCGATAATATATTGCATCACAAAAGAATGAATATTGAAGAAAGAAAAAAGTTACTTTTTGAAAGACATTTAAAAAAAAAGAAGTCTCCTAGATTGATTCATAACCAGGCATTGGAAACTTTGAAGCGAATTCTTCAATTTCTTGCTTTAATTCATCAATTTTTTTTGCATGTTGATCAAGTTTCATATTGACTTTAAAATCTTTTACTGTTTGATTTGGATTATTAAGATTAATATCAAGTGCAATTTGTACAGCACGATCAATAAATAAAGCAACTTGAACCATATCATTTTCTTGAAAACCGCGTGTTGTTAATGCTGGTGTACCCAAACGTATACCTGATGGTTTTAATGCTGATTTATCACCTGGACATGTATTTTTATTGACAGCAATTGAAACAACTTCTAATACACGTTCAACTTTTGCACCATCAAGACCTAATGGTCGTAAATCAAGTAATGCTAAATGTGTATCAGTACCACCAGCAACAAATGTATATCCTTTATCTGAAAG